AGCAACAGAAAAATGTAAGCGAAATAATCTTAGGCTTTGTTGGTATAATTTTGTCAAGAAAAGCAAGAAACGTGCATGTTGGGATTTTGTTTTTATTGGATTTCCTAGTGTCTTCAAACATTCCCAGTATTGGTTGGCTGGGCCAGACCCTCCTGAATACACTGGTGTCATTACTATAATTTGTGGCATAATTATTAATTATGATAAAAAACACAAGAATTATGATAAATAAAACTCCAAGAATCAATATCCTAATTCTATTTTGCTCAGACACATATAAAATATAAAGCGGGCTTGTATCCTTCATACAACGGAAGAAGGCGGCTAGATATCTCAAAAATGAGAGGGGAAAAACAATTTGTGACTGAAATACTACCACGGATGATCCAAAAAGTGATTTGCTAAACTTTGAAATTGCACTTTAAAATGCTCAATTTCCTATATTGTGTTTCTCTCATTAATAAAATACAGCTTTGGTCAGATTGATATTTTTAAGGGAAACTGAGTATTAATTTTCTTTTTCAAAATGTTCTTCCAAATTTGCTACTTTCTGGCATTTCTTCCAATCATTTCTCTTGAGTGAAATGAAATTTTAATTAAATCTCTATAAACTCATCCAAATATGGAATTACTCTTTCTGTTACTAACGCTGTTTTTCATTCACTTTGCTAGCCAATTCCAAGTGGCAAAGTAGCTCAAATTTATCTTTTATTCTTGAGTTTTGAAATTTGGGATTTAAAGCTCTAGCTCTTATTCATGTAAAAATTATTCTAGAAGCAGCAACAGCATGATGCTAATTGGGTGCTCAGTTTACAGAGCCTTCTTCCACTTCCTTTGACTACTTCTGAAGCATTAGATATCATAAATGTGGTCCCCGCAGTAGAGAAAAGTCACTTGCATTTCCTTTCAACAATACAGAAATATTTATTTTTGTCTTGTGGATCTTTCAATTGCAAGCACACTCTTATTGCTGTATATGATGGCAGAAAACATCACCTGAAATACCTACCAGCCGGAATCCTGGGGGGCAGAGATCCTCCCCCTGGCACTGGATGCGGGGCCTGGATGCTATTTAAAAACCCTGCCCTCAGGAAGCTGGGGCAAAACGCCTCCACCCCAATGGCCGGGAAGGATCCTTTTAAAAGATAAAAATGGACATTAATCAAAATCTTCTTTGTGGAAAAGTTGTTGATCATTTAACTGGAGGAAAAAAAAAACCCTATGATCAATAAAGACATCAAACCTTAAAAGCGATAAAATGAAAAGGAATAGAATGCATTTTTATTCACAGACCTTAAAAAAATCAACCTAGTTTTTGAAAAGAAAGCTACTCTTAACTAGTTACAGTCAAACACAGTTTAAAAGAATGCTAAGATAAAATTTCTAAGCCCCCATTTGACAAAGTGGGTATAAATGTCATTGGGGTTATCTATTTGCAGAACGCACATCCGCGAGTTATGGAAGACAGCCTCAGCGGGATGGGACGTCGGAGGCGCAGAGGAAGGAGCGGTGCTCTGCTTTAGGTATTTCAGCAGCAGTGCGTTTCTGAAATAGTGGCAAGGAAATCAATATATACAATTCTTAATTTGTTATACTTTTTGGGAGAAGACAGAGTTTGCGAAGGTAGAACCACATGCTTTTTCATTTTCAAGGAGGCTATTATGAAGAAAACAAAAAACAAAAAACAAAAAGTAAATTACTTGGAAGTTTATCCCATAAGATTATATCATGAATTGTAGAAGAAAAGACTGTCAGAGCTGGAAAGGACATCAGAAATCATCCAGATCCTTATTTTACAGACTAGCAAACTGAGGCACGGGAAGCGGGAGAGGGCTGCCGCTGAGCTGGCGGACTCCTAGGACAAAAATCTTTCCACCATAGATTAAAAATAAATAATGAGTCACTTCCCATTTGGGAGATTGCTCTTCTCCGAATATGAATTAGAAACCCTGCAGTTTGGAATAACAGCATTACAATTTGGTGTCTCAATGACCTGAAAGACACTAGAGTCATTCAGAAGAAAATTTAATATCCAGGCACCATGAGCGCCCGGGCAGCACTGGTAATTGATACGGTATATCGAAGTTTAATCACAGTTAACACCCTCAACGCAAGTTACACTGACGGTGCTAAGGAATGCATATCATTCGGGGCCTCTGAAACCCCTGACCAGGCCCGGCAGTTTCCGGATAAAGAGACCTGGGATCAATCCTCCCACGCTGAGTTTTAGCAAGTCCTGAATTTTTGAAGAGACTTCATTCTGTTCCTTGACACAAATTTTGCCCCTAAAATACGTTAAAATTGAAAGCCTCTTTGAACTCGGACCAGGATTAAAGGGACCCTGTATACCTACCACTCTCTATACAACTTGCTTCTGTGGAAAAAGTTGTTGCTAAAGAAAAGCCAGCATTTCTTAGATCTTTAGAGATGTTTTAATGGGTGAGGCCTGTTCATTGTACATTGGATTAAAGGAAGCATAGACAGAAAATCACATACTGTAAATAAACTCGTTTTGTTGTTGATTTTGTGAGGCTTTAGTAAGAAGGTCCAGTTTGAGTCCCTTAAACATTAAGAGGTGTGGGTAAAGTACCCAGTAGTAGGCTAGAAAGTGTTCTGAGGTAACTTGTGATGAACAGTGACTCTAATTTCTACTACTGGGGGGGATCTACCATTGAGCAAAAATGTGCCCTCATGTACACGCATCCCACAACGCCATGTTTCAACACTGTCTGGGAAAATACCCAGAGCCCAGGAGCATCACTGAATCCAGGTAGAGATAATTATATATTTATTCTGCATTCTTAAAATTACAAAAGAAATGGTGATTCTGCTTCAGAGAAAATAATTATAAGAAATTCAGATTGTAGTATAGTCTGTGACAAACAGAAATATTCCAGTTCTGGCTGATTATGGATTTATTGAAGCCAAGTGACAGGAAGCTTGGTTCAAGAATCCTAGATTGTAAAGAAAAAGAATAACATAATCATGCACAGGAAAGAAAAAGGAATATAAATATAATCATCATAAAGGAAATTTGAAGAAAAAAAAGCATGTAGAACAGACTTTAAATAATGTTAATATGCTTCACATTTAGAGATTTTTATCTTTGTGTTTGCTATTTTAGCCATAATCCTTGAAACTGTTAACTTAGAAATGATGTCCATTATTTTAACTCCTTGAAACGAAATACAAATATTATTTTATTGCTGTGATTACACTGATTACTATTTTTGTGGTTGTGACAGCCTGTCATATTTAATGACAGCTTTCATTTTCCTAAACTTGCTGCATCATTCATAATGGCTTTGTTATGTTTCTTTACTGTGGGTTAAAAGGTCTTTCATTTACTGTGGCATCTCTTCCTTAAGGAACTTTTATATATATATATATGAAACAAACAACAAGAAAAGCTGGTGTACACGAATACACATTCAGTCGAAATATCATATTTTGTGCTAACAACGCCTTATCATTTCTCTCCTTAGGGTCAGTCGTGTCAGTAGAGATTACATGAAACACTACAGCTCTGTTTTCACAATTCAATAACGAAGCTGAATTTATTTTTAATTATAATTCTCTTATCTCTTAATCTACAATAAATTAAGGTCAGGAACCTTTTGGGATTGGAAAGGAAATAATTTTAGTCTGGTTTGCTGCAATGCTTAAATTGCTGGCTCCTGTTTTTATTTTTTTTTTTTAAATAAGTAATTGTAACAAAGAAAAAAAGAGAGAGATGCACAAACCAAGAAACAGACTCTTAACTACAGAGAACAAACTGATGGCTATCATAAGGGAGATGGGTGGGGGGATGGGGGAAATAGGGAATGAGGATTAAGAAGTGTACTTGCTGTGATGAGCACCTGGGTGTGGTATGGAAGTGTCCAATCACTATACTGTACACCTGAAACTAATATTACACTGAACTGGAATTAAACAAGAAAACAACAAAATAAATAAGTGTAGAACTTATTAATTATATTGTAGCCAAAGAAAAAAACAACAGCTAGTATCTACAGCAGGATAAATGTAAATGTCCAACAGCATTTGGTTTTTAGTTGCATTCAGTAGACTGAAGTATTTGTCAGAATAAATTAGGCTTTTATTTGATGAGAGTACTCCTCCCTCTCATTACAAGTTTGAAATATAAGATGTGTCACTTCACACATGCTCTTCTAAATCTCAAATAAGTGAGTTTCCAGTTTGTCAGTGAGCATGAGTCAGTGGATTAAAGAGACACCATAATAGGATATTAGCATTATATTGTCTCTAATATAGAGTTGCCAGATAATGGGGCATCCTGTATTTTTATTTGCTAAATCTGACAACCCTACTCAAAAATAATTTCGAACACTTTTGAGTATCAGACTCACAAAAGACACTTTTAACTACTGGTATAAGGTAAGTTAACCTAAGTCACTGGCTGCAGGAGTTGGTGATTTATCTGTCCTTCAGTAGTTCAGTGGTCGTTGATGTCCCTTAGGGAGTACTGCAAATTATGACTAGGGAAAGACATTATTTAGTGGGTGAGGGTCAGGACGTATGCTAAAGGCATTGTAATAACTGGTATACTCCCTACACAAAGGAGAATTTCTCTCAAAATGCTAGTAGCACCACTGAGAAACCCTGCCTGAGAGCAAAGCATCCTAAAAAAACACAGTTGGTTGCTAGTGACCACAATATAAAAAAAGCAGAAGTTGACATGATCAGCCTGAATTTTGACATCTGGTTTGATCAGTTAATGGAGTATTCTGATTACCTAGATTATTTGAAAGTAATCTGGCCTGTAGAGTAGCCAGTTTTCAAAGAGTTAAAATAAAATATATTTAGGGGCACCTGGGTGGCTCAGCCATTAAGTGTCTGCCTTCAGCTCAGGTCATGGGATCCTGGGATCGAGCCCCGCATCGGGCTCCCTGCTCCGCGGGGAGCCTGCTTCTCCCTCTCCCACTCTCCTGCTTGTGTTCCCTCTCTCACTGTCTCTCTCTCTGTCAAATAAATAAATAAAATCTTTTATATATATATATATATATTTAACACTTAAACTCAATGAAACAAAATCATTTTCAGTTTGATTTGCAGCAATCTCTTTGAAATAACTTTACCTTGGAAATCAGATATCATTAAGAATTGGTGTAAAAAGATGACTATGACTTTGAACTCTTCATGCCTTAATTTCCTCACACATAAAATGAAAATAACAACTCACCCTACCTAATGGGACTGTACGTAAGGATTAAATAAAAGTAAATAATCATAAATATAAGACAATATTATTAGATGTTTCTAAGTTTTTTTTAAGAGAGAGCAAGCAGGAGAGGGGCAGAGTGAGAGAAAGAATCTTTTTTTTTTTTTTTTTAAGATTTTATTTATTTATTTGACAGAGAGAGACAGCGAGAGAGGGAACACAAGCAGGGGGAGTGGGAGAGGGAGAAGCAGGCTCCTGGCTGAGCAGGGAGCCCGATGCGGGACTCGATCCCAGGACCCTGGGATCATGACCTGAGCCGAAGGCAGACGCTTAACCGACTGAGCCACCCAGGCGCCCGAGAGAAAGAATCTTAAGCAGGCTCCACACCCAGTTCAGAGCCAGACGTGTGGCTCGATCTCACAACCCTGAGATCATGACCTGAACTGAAATCAAAGTCAGACACTTAACCAACTGAGCCACCCACATGCCCCAACAGTCCTAATGTTTTAAAAAAAGAAACCTCTTTGGGTGAGAAATTGAGGTAGACTGATTCAATTTTTCTAATGCAGAACTACCTGCCTCCCCCACATACATAGACAAAAACCTAACAGAAGAAATCCCTTCATTGAAGATTACATATCAATAATTTAATTTTGCCTGAAAAGTTTAATAAAGGCAATATCCCTATAATATGAATTTTTTGAGATGTGGTTCCTTCAAATTGTCCCTACCTGGCTTTACTTTTGCAGATACTCAATTTGATCTATGAGTAGACAAAGAATATCTAGACTCAGTTAAAGATAATTTAGAATTGTAAACTTAAAATACATGCAAACATGTGAATCAAATAAATTATGAATAAAATATAATACTCCCTGTGGAGGATGCTCAAACATTTTCATTGTTAGAGGTGTGTGATCAGAGAATTTTGGAGAATGCTTGTTTAAACAATA